TTGATGCAAGTTTTCTTGTCTCCAAAAGCATCCTACCTGTTACATGTGGATTTATTTATCTACTTACCTAAATGAATAATTTTTTTGCATCGAATTCCAGACTAATGAACAAATGCATGCAAGCTTCAGGATCAGCAAAAACTTTTTCCATATGATATTTCCCTTAGGTTGCCTACCTAAAATGACTTCAGGCTTGTTCAACCAGATGCTGTAAATCTAGAAAGCTCCACAGGGCTATCATTATGGGCATCAAGAACAAGAACCTTCATTCACATACTCCCTGTTATAAATATGCACATTTTTATTTATACTCTGATGAGTGAAATATAGGGAAGTTATCAATAGCTATCATGTTATTTGCTGGTTTGGACATAAAGCTGTGAAAATTGCATGTGCAGAAACTTCACAGTGCTGCCTGCAGTGGTGGGGGGTGGCCCATCTAGTGCGGAGGGACAGGAGAAGCTGCTGTCCTCCTCTGGGTTCACAGTAGTGTGGAGAGGCCAATTTCTCTGGCTCCAGAGCCTGCCAGGGCAGAGAAGAGTGGCTCCAATGTCAGTTGTAAGGGCCTTAGAGAAGCCAGCCCATCCACCCCCTTTAAAAGGCAACCATTGTCCAGAGAGGTGAAGGGACTTGCCCATGCTCACACCCCTTGTCTGCGGCAAGAGCTGTCGCTAGAACCTGCTTGCTTCATGGCTTTGCCCTGCTTGTGGACCAGCTTCCTCTGGGGAGCACATCCACCTCTCTAGAGACCCCCAGCTCTTACAGGATCTAAAGCTTAACAGAATTTACGGTGTTTCTATCTAAGAGAACAAATACAAAATCATTAAAACCAAACAATAATTTTGTCATAAATGCTCATGAGAGATGCTTCCTGATTGTAAACTGGCTTCTTCTCCCATTAGAACATTCTAGAACTCCCAGTCCTAAAGCTTCAGTTTGGGTTACATTGGTAAGTCCTTCTCTCCTCACAAGAGAAAAAAATGGGTTCTGTGTATTTCAGAGACCTTGTTCTTCCAATTATTCCAGCCCCACTTGGGAAGCATTTACCACACAGCTCAGCATCAGCCGAAGATGATTCAGAAGGGGAGGCCAGCATCCCAGAGCCCCTCTCCCAGGCTGCCTTGGTTACCTGGAGTCCTCATCTCCCTGAGAGCAGGGCTCTTTTCCAGGAAGGCTGAGGCATGAAGTACATCTCCACAAGCTCAGGGACAAGGGCATTGGAGGGAGGGGATGACACAGAGCAGATAAAATTGTTGCAAGCCCCTAGGCACGCCCCAGGTCTCTGTGCGACTACAGTGATGTCCTTCTGGAGACCAGGAGTAATGTAAGTGTTCTCTGTTGGACCACTGCAGCAGCCACAGTCAACACCAGAACATACCTCACCAAGGGCACGGGGTTCTGTTCCATTAACAATGGAATCCTCAGTGTCCAGAGCAATGCCCAGCCCAGCTTAGATGGCCTATAAATATTTGTTGAATCAATTAATGCATTTATTGTGTACCTGTATGGCGGGGGTTTTGTTAAGAACTTCATGTGTCATATCTTGTTTAATCCTTGCAACATTCCCTCCCAAGCAGAGTCTGTTATTGTCCTTGTACGGAAGGCACACCGGAGGCGTAGAAATTATAAGAACTCATCAAGGTCCTAGAGCTCATCAGTGGCAGCAGTGGGCTCCGAGTCTTGGACTCTGTGACCATATCTGCATTGTTTCCAATGTATGGGACCCGTGCGACTCCCAGAACAGGAGGGGGTTTGGGATTGCAAAGGAATACAGCCTAAGTAATGTTGAATCACACAGCACAGACTCCTCCTTGCAACATTCTTTCAGACCTCGTGACTCCAGGCAAAGAGGAAGGCTCAGTCTGGAATGGGTGGCGTGAGCACCTCTCTAACCTGCTACCCTCCTCTTGCAGAAGGCAGCAAGAACAGAACCCAGGCTCAGAACCCTCTGCTCAAGCAGCGCCCAGATAGAATCTACTTTATGTTGCTTTGTTCCCATTTCATTTTATGTTTATGAGTTCCCTTCTGTGCACAGCAGGCCTGCGCGTTTTTCATTTAAGGAACTGATACACAGTTTCCTTTTCAAACAAACATTGCCATAATTTTATATAGAATCGACTTATATTCTGAAATAAAGATTTCAATAATTTTAATAATGATAATATGATAGTAAAGATAAATATGTGAGTAGAAATTCTAGAGTCTTGTCTATGGCAAAATTGTGAAGATGGCACAAATGATGCACATTGAATCCAGTTTCACTGCCTCCTGCAGAGCCCATGGAATTTCAAGTTCTGAAGGGAGCAGTGTGAGAACTCATTATCTCCGGCCAGCTTCAGTGGTTAGTTTTTACCTGGCACAAGGAGAGCCCTCCAGAATCAGGCTGCAGGACAGGAGTGTGGCTTGGCCAGGCACTGGGAGGGGCTGGGGGAGAGCAGCAGTCAGGAAAGACTGGTGGGAATGGAGACTGGGAAAGGGAAGGGCTGGGAGTATTGGGAGATGCTCAAGAAGGTGCTAGAAGGTGCTAGAACCATGGCCTGCTGGTGCAGATCTATCCCTCTCTTCACTAAGCTTGCTAATGACAATCGGCTCAACCTCAGGGTAGTATTTCTCAACCTTTCAACATGTGCCCCTATAGCCAAGGCTTTGTTGGACTTGACTATGTGTCACCTGTGCTATGAATATAACGACTTCCTCCCCAGTTCCGATTCACAGGCCCACTTCCACCATCATACTTTTTAAGCATCGCTGCCTAAGAATCGTTAACAGCAAATTCCCACTCTGTCCCTGATCGTCAGAACGCTAGCGGAGTCTGTGTGAGTCGCTGGGGGGTTCTCCAACCATTTCATTCAACTTCAGTTAAAAAATAAACAAATAAAGACTGTTTTTAAAACTGTCCTTCAGACCAAAGGGTCTACTCATGGGTGGTACCTACCAAATTGTAACATATCAGAAACCAGCCACATCTGTACATACTAGCTCTGAGCATATATTTGAACTTCTTGTCAATGTGTCATTGATTAGAAAGGAGAAACTGAACCGGTCTTTTCTCAATTCAGGCTTGGCACATTTGCTCACATAAAACTCCCGCCGCAAACGGAGGCAGAGCTCAAACCCGTCTGCTCCGCGTGCTCTTGGCATTTTCTTATTTTCAGCTGCTTAATAACGAGTAAATGCACACGTCATCCTGATAATGTTATATTACAGACTTTTTGTTTGCAGTTTTTCTAAATTAAGGATGCTGCTTCCCTCACTTCTTTATCTATGATAAAGGCTGTAAGCCAAGGTTAGACGCTGTGTGTGTTTCCAACTGGAAATAAAATTTCAAGCTACTTCTGAGTCTTTGGATAAGCTTATTCTGAAACGGCAAGGTGAGTTGTGTGAAAAACAAACCTACATCAAACTCTCCTCTTCTTCCTGTTACTGCAGAACCAAAATGGAAATAAATAATTTGCACCCTGGATGCGGAGGCTGGTTTAGGAATGAATTGCCATCTAGAACCGGAGGAGGCAAGCATTTTCTGTAAAGGGCCAGATAGTCAATGTGTTCAGCTTTGTGGGACATACAACCCGTGTCATGATGACTCAACTCTGCCTTGTAGCACAAACGCAGCCACAGATACATGTAAAAGAGGGAGCATGGCTTTGTTCTCAGAAAGCCTTATTTGTGGATTCTGAAATATGAGTTTTATATATTTTCCTGTGTCATAAAATATTGTTCTTCTTCTGGTATTTCTCCAACCACTTAAAAATGTCCAAACTATTCTTAACTCATGAGCTAATCTCATATCTATATCCCTCATGTTAGCGTTGTTTTCATTGAAACAACCTCGATGAAGGGAGATGTAATTGAGAAGAGGAGACGGGGAGGGCGAGGGGTGCCTCAGATCCCGGCAAGATCCATTTCTTGACCTGTGTGGTGGTTATATGGGTGTTTACTTTAGAATTATTCGTTGAATTGTATACTTATGTCCTATTTGTTTGTGTGGATATGTATGTAATATTTCACAATGAAAATGTTTGAAACTAAATGATCCATAAGTTAACATAAAAATATCATGGTTTTCATCATGTAATTAGTCAATGCTTTTAATTTGATTTTATAAAATACATTAATACTATTTTAATTAAAATGGCACTCTTATTTACTTGACACATGGAGATTTCATGTAAGATTTTATTAGGGATAAATAATTTCTGCTAAAAATGTTTGACAACTGCTGTTTAATCAGCATGTTCAGTAGAATTGTCTGCAATGATGGGCATGTTCTCTGTGCTGTCCACAGGAGCTTGTGACTACTGTATCCGACAGCACAGATTTAGATGTTTTTACTTGCCCTTCCATATTATAATTTGATACTTATGCATTTTTGTCTGGGTTCCAATTTCAACTGCACCATTAGGTAGCTGTGTGACTTTGGGCAACTTACCTGATCTTTCTGTGCCTTAGGTTCTTCATTTTAAAATGTACCTACTTTATAGTGTAATTGAGAGGACTGAATAAGGAAAGTTATTATGCCTAGTGCCATACCTGGCCCATTCTAAGTACTCAGTGAATTTGGCATTATAATTACTGGCAACTTCATTTTTATGGCAATCCTATGAGGTTTATAGATGAGAAAAAGCAAGGCTCCCACAGTTAATAAAGGGCAGAGCTGGACCAAAACCCTGGCCCGTCCAAGTTCTCATGGGTCACTTTGATTCCCCAAAGAAACGGACAGGACAATGTAGCATAGAGGATGATCAATTGCCATGATCATTACACTTTGAGGGGTAGAATCTTTTATGCATGTAAAACAAGGTGGGTTCTGAACTCTTACCAGGTGTCCCTCTGTGCTTAGGTGAAAAGCAGTCCTCCATAAATACTCATTGAGTAAATGAAATTAAAAATAATGGTCCTAGGGCTGCAGCGGTCACAAACTTGCCCATTACAACCGCCCTACTGGCTACAAGTTCAGTTTCAAGGAAGGAAAGATCTGAAAGCTTACCTCCAGTTCCAAGCAAGCCTCTAAGCTTGCTTTCCCTTGAACTTTTCCCAAGGCTGGCTTTCCCAGACAGGAATTACACTTGTCCTGAAAGTCGTCCCCGAGTCCCCACACTCCGTTTGTAAGTACTGCTTGCAGTGGGTGGGGTTACGAGATCGAGGGATAAAGGTCTTGGGGGCTTGAGATGGATGTTTATGACTCCGTGTGTCCTTGGGGCCTTTGATCTGTTATCCTGAATGGACGGCGCAGCCCGCATTGTTTGTGGGAGTGATTGGGTTTTTGTTTTATCAGATTCTGACACACAGAATATGAGGGTGGAGAGATTACAGGGCAGGTTTGGAATTCGGATGGGTTGGGTGGCCTGTGTTGTGGGAATTTGTCAAGTTTGAGTTCTGCTGGCGGGGACCCGATTCTAGGACTGAGAGGGAGTAAGGGGCGTGTGGCCCATCGTGGAGCCCGGAGACTCAACCCTGGGGCTCCAGAGCATCGACAGCGCCCTCACGTAGCCGGGCTCAGAGCCCTGTGCTGTGCTGTGCTGGGCATAGCCAGGACTCGGTAGGGGGGCGGCAGCACCGGGGAAGAGAAGAAAAAGGCAGAATGACTCTCAACAAAGCACGACCCGCCCTCCGCCCTCCAGCTGCTCCAACAATGAGCTGGAGGGTCTCCGCGGCCCACGGCTGGCTGATTCAGCCCTGAGCCGTGGGCCTTGGCATATGGCACTGCCCCAGCCGTGGCGCTGACCAGCCTGGCCCTGGCCACCAGCGTCTGGTTTGCCTGGGTCCCCACAGCCCTGAGACCTGTCAGAGCAACAGCTGGGGGTTGGGAGAGACGCCTCCCCGGCCCTTCCTGACAGGCTGAGATGATGGATTACAGGCAGCGAGCCAGAGGACCCTCCCCACCTCTCCCCGGGCAAAGCGGCTGGGGTCAAGGCCCAGGGAAAGGCAGGCGTTCCTTGCAGGAGGGGCTGAGAGCTGGGATGTTGTGTGGGAGAGGGGCCCAATCAGAACTGGGTGTCCCCAGCTAGCAACTCCCATGGGCACCTTTTCCCCTCCCTCATGACCGAACTGAGACCCTGGCCAGGGGCTACTTCATTCTGCTGGGAATGTCTCTAAGGAGGGCATTATCAGTGACACACTCGGGCCCAGCTTGGCCAGGCAGAGACCCTCTCCCTCCCGGACTCCCCCTCCCTGGTGAGAAGGAGGAGCACAGAATACTTTTCAGGGGGCCATCTGCCCCTCCGCTGGGAGGAACTGAACTGCATATTTGACTTGCAAATGTTGGGAGTGGTCTCCTCCCAGTGGTAAGAGGGGGCATCTGGGGCAGGAGCCAGGGCTGGAGAGGAGGGGAGTGAGCAGGGGGAGGGGTGGTGGGTCAGGGGTGCAGTGCTATGTCCCTTAAGTCAGCAGAATGGCCCCCAGCACGATCCTGAGGCAGCCTGTGAGGAATCTGTCTTCTGTTCTCCGGACACCTCCAGACTTAGCTGTCAAAAGTATCTGCTATGTACAGGGCAAAGACTGGACTCCTTTCCTTGGTCATTTCCCAACACGGGAATACCGAGCATCCCCTTGGGCACCTGAATCAGAGCCTCAGAGGCAGTATGGTTAAGAATGAGTAGAGGAAAGGCTGTTTCTTGCAGTTGCTCCCAAGGCCATGCTCTGGTGAAAAGCCATGAACTGATGTTGCCCAAGACTTGAGATGAGGCTTACACTGCTGGAGGTACCGAGTACATTTCCGGACAGGTAAGCTTGCTTTTGCTTGACCGCAGATCTGGATACAATGGCTGGGGAACTTTCCAGACTCTTCCATTTTTGATTCTGTGTTCACACATATATGTTTGAAATCCAGGCCGGCATAAAAGCAAGCCAACTCCTGAGAAGCCAATCACCTCAAAATTAGAATCACCTAAAATTTAGGACATCAAAACAGCCTTGTAACCAAGGAAGAGGGTCACGTTGGAAAGAAGGTCAGGGTCACGTTGGAAAGAAGGAGTCCAAAGACAGTGTTGGGGCCTCTTTGACAGGGCACCTTAAATGGAAATTACCAAATGGCTCTTTAAAACATGCACCCTTTTGTTTGATTAGCCTACTGTAGATAACCTTTATTAAACCTGATCTGAAATTACAAGCATGGCCAGTACTTCTTTGATGCTGCGCTGTTTCATTTCCTGTTTATACTATGATACACGTTGCGCTAGGAGATAAAGCACTTCTGAAGGATATTAAGACATAAAAGTCCCTTGGCTATTTGCTGACACTGTTTTGATGTTTTCTTGCTCCCTAGAAATTAGCATATCCTTTTCAAAGGCTGCCTCTGATGAGAGTAATCCTTTGCCATGATGTATTTGCTAAAAGTCATCAATGATAGTAATTGTGTAAAGAAATGGCACATAAAAGGCATGATGCTCGATTCTTGATAATGAGGCAACTTGTGTAACGGTTACTTTTGGCTTTTCTAAAACATATTTTGACACCATAAATACACTGAGCTTATATTAATGAGGATTTCAAGCTTCTGAGATTTTAAAAAAACTTGCTCAAAGCAACTTTGTGAAGGAAAGCATTAGCAGGCGGGTAGGTTAGCATTTTGAGTCACTTTACCGAGTTAGGGTCTATCAAGACACTTTATGGCCCTGGAAGTAAATGATCGAGAGCATTCTATTTTCCTTTGCTTTCAGAGCTTAGAGCTGATGAGGAAGCACTGCACGGGGCCAGTCTGGGAAAAGAGGCCTCCCCACATACCTAGGATGCTAAAAATTAAATCAGGAAAGAAAGGTTGAATCTAAAAGACGAATCAGGAAGGAAGAAACAGAAAGAAGTAATAAAAGAAACAGAGGAGGCCAAATGAAAATGAGAAAGGTATCTTTTACAGTGGGAAGGAAAGAAGGAAGGAAGGAAGGAAGGAAGGAAGGAAGGAAGGA